CTCCATGGCTGAGATCATCAGAATTGACTATCTCAACGGGAAAGCATTGTAATTGGCTAAGATCAGCACTGCTGATGATATCAGCCAAGGAAGCAAATCAGGGGCAGAACCAGCTCCAGCAGACTGTAATAAAGGTAAGATTTTACTATTCTGTATTTAGGTGGGGCAAGGGGGCTAGATACAAAAACATGTTTGTGTTTTTGACTCTATAGTGTTCTTTTAAGAATATGTTTCTAAATTCTGTGTAACATTTTCATTTCATTACATTTTTAGAACTATTTTAGAGCTGGGAAGTGGTGTTGGCCTCACTGGCATTGCAGTATGCAAGAGCTGTATTCCAAAGAAATATGTATTTAGTGACTGTCACCATCGAGTTTTGCAACAACTAACCGAAAACATCTGCTTGAATGGCTTCCAACTAAGTGAAGAACAAAAGTCACAATCTAAAGAGCAAGTCCTTTCAGATACTGAACATGGGAAATTTTCAGACAATGTTAAAATATCAGTTATTGAGCTTCATTGGGAATCTGTTACAGAAAAACAATTTTTACACATCCAAACTGATGTGGATGTAGTTATTGCGTCAGGTAACTATACACAGTAACAGTTTGATAATGTGTGTATGTGTCTGTGTACAATACCCAAGGATTCTGAACTTGACAACTATATGTAGAATACTTGCTGCCGTGCTAAATCCAGCCAAATAACTAAACAGCAAAATGGGAAAGCACTCAATGCATTTGTTTAAGCAGGAATAATAATGCTTTTTTGCATATTTAATCCATAGTCAAGGTTTCAGTCCCATGCATGGATTTTTCTCATAACATAAGGTACAATGACCACTTAATAAAGTCAAGAAAACAAAAATGGGGGTTGAATCTCTGAAATAGAGACTTGGTGATACGTGCATTGAGAAACATCTCCCAGTAATCCGGATAACCAGTAAACAGAAAAATACACCAGTGTGCAAAGATGAAAAAGAGAGCCATAGCCCCCGAAGAATAAATCTATGGAAAAACCCACACCATGCAAAGGATAGGTCGTCTTTGAGCATAGAAAATGTTTAGTTATTTTGATGAATAGATAAGTCCATAGAACCCACTTATCAATTTTGTCATTATTGGAGAGATACAAATTATCTTTGACCAAGAACCTTCAAGCACACAGGTTTTAGTGAACAAGGGGCATTGACCATCCCCAACATCAAAAATATGAGTATGTACATGTGTTAGGTAGAGTCTTTAAGTTCGAGGTTGCTAATTAATATGTAATGCATAGTGTCTTAATTAAGCATGTTTAAGCTAGGAGTTTCAAACTCTAACAGCCAAAGTCATACAACAGGACATGTGGCTATTGTTTTGGACATAAGACTAGAATAATATACGCTTTGGCAAAATATGCAATGATCGGGTGCACAATAGAACAAAAAATACTTGTGGCACATCATCAAGGACATCTGTCTGGAATACATAAACCTGGGTTTCCTCTTGGAACTGTTCAAAGGTTCATGGAAGCCATAAGATGGTAATGTCTGAGACAAGATGCAGTCAAGTAAGGAGCACTCACATGGGCTATCATACGTATATGTAAAAAATATACAGATTAAGGAACAGCGCACACATAAAAATACAGCTTTAAATTTTATTAGGCTACTTAAAATTGCCTATCTTAGCAAACAAATGCGTGGATTTAGTTACTGCCCACATACCAGACACTCCTTTCTGCTTTAAATCTTCCAGTCCATACCCAGTACCTGTGCATGCATCAGTCCACTTACTCCCACAATAACGGCCATATCACCAATACCAGTTTCTATTTTATACATCTGTACTGCCTGCTCTATTTCCTCCACATTAGTAAAGAGACTCTAAATCCCACACTTTTATGGTCATACTTTTTTTGCCCCATCCATACTGGCTGCCTTATTCATGGTCTCTTTTTAATCCTTTATCAATAAGTTTGTGCAAATAATGAAAAATAACTCATTCACTATTTCCAAGTGTGTTTTTTTTTGTTTTGTTTTTAACAAAATGTTATAAACAATGTAAATTGTATTAAAAAAAAAAAAAAAGTTATAAAAATGTGCACCCTCCCAGCAGTCGGCAACAAACTGGGCGCTCTTCCTTACTTGATTTGAGTGCTCGTTCAAAGTTGCAAAGTGGGAGGCAGTGCTTCTATTAGTGTGGCAACTGCCGTACATATCCTGTAAGACCTCAGCGAGTCTCTTTGAGCAGCACTGGTTTGGCCTAGGACATAGTTAGTGAGAATAACCAAAATGTGGAGTGGAACTGTGGGAACCTTATCAGTTCAACTGGAGATAATGAACTTTGCGGGGGTTCACTAGAACATTTTAGTGAAGGGAGAATTCAAGGTTCAAGGTAAAAGTAGCCGAACTGAAAACATTCTCTAAGCCAGTTATATTTAGTTATTTGGGATTTCAAATTCACTTTGAATTCTCACTAGTGAATAAAAATGTAGCTGTTCCTTTAACAGCTCCCCTTGCTGCTTAGTTGTGAATGAAGATGGAGCTTCTAAGTAGTATTTCAGCAGATATTCTGTAAAATAAAATTATACAACAATAGTGCAATACAGTATATAAAATACTTAAAAAGTAAGATAAAAGAGTGGTATCACTCACAAGCCTGGAGTCATACCCTCATATGACTCGGATAGTATGTGCCCAGGGGCGGACTGACCACTCGGGCATATCGGTCATGGACCGAGGGCCCGAGGCAGTCAGGGGCCCGGCAGCACAGCCATGCTCCAGCTGGAGAGATCAGATCAGAGATCTCTCCAACTGGAACAGCAAAATAATAAAATAAAACTATTTAATCGATAGGTTGTGGGGCCCCTTATGCAACGCGGGGCCTCTACCCCACGCTTGCTAGCTCTCTCTCTCTATGCGAGACCTGGCAGCTTCACCAGCTCTCTGCCAGGTCTCCGGCTTCCTCTCCCATTGGCTCTGTGTGATGGGAGAGGCGGGGCCAGGAAGTGACCTCACTTTCTGTTTACTCCTCTCACACAGAGCCCAGGAGGGGAAGGAGCAGCAGCCGGGGAGACCACAAGGAGCAGCAGCCAGGGAGAGGAAGCAGACAGACAGGCACTAATCACCCCCTCCCCTCTGTCACTAGTCACCCCCCCACTGTGTCACTAGTCACCCTCACTGTCACCTTCAGTCACCCTCATTGTCACCAGTCACCCCCCTCATTGTCACCAGTCACCCCCTCATTGTCACCAGTCACCCTCATTGTCACCAGTCACCCCCTCATTGTCACCAGTCACTCCCTCATTGTCACTAGTCACCCTCATTGTTTCCACCAGTCACCCCTCATTGTCACCACAGTCACTCCCCACTGTCACAATCACTCCCCACTGTCACTAGTCACTTCCCCCACTGTCACTAGAGTCACTCTCCCCCACTGTCACTAGTCACCTCCCCACTGTCACTAGTCACTTCCCCCCACTGTCACTAGTCACCTCCCCCACTGTCACACTAGTCACCTCCCCTACTGTCACCAGTCACCCCCACTGTCACCAGTCACTCCCCACTGTCACTAGTCACCTCCCTCACTGCTCTACTAGTCACACCTCTCACTGTCACTTAGTCACACCCCTACTGTCACTAGTCTCACCTCTACTCACTAGTCTCACCTCTCACTGTCACTAGTCTCACCCCCTCACTGTCACTAGTCTCACCCCCCTCACTGTCACTAGTCTCCCCCTCACTGTCACTAGTCTCCCCTCACTGTCACTAGTCTCCCCCTCACTGTCACCAGTCACCCCCCTCACTGTCACTAGTCTCACCCCCCCTCACTGTCACTAGTCACCCCCCTCACTATCACTAGTCACCCCCCCACTGTGTCACTAGTCACCCCTTACCTCACTCACTTTCACCCCTTCCCTCACTCACTGTCATCCCTTCCCTCCCTCACTTTGTCACTAGTCACCCCTTCCCTCACTCTGTCACTAGTCACCCCCTCCCTCTGTCACTGGTCATCCCCTCCCTCTCTCTGTCACTAGTCACCCACTCACTCTAGTGACAGAGTGAGGGAGAGGGTGACTAGTGACAGAGGGAGGTGGTGACTAGTGACAGAGTGAGGGAGGGAGTGACTAGTGACAGAGGGAGGGATGGGGTGACACAGTGACAGAGGGAGGGGGTGACTAGTGACAGAGTTAGGGAGGGAGTGACTAGTGACAGAGGGAGGGATGGGGTGACTAGTGACAGTCACCATCTCCCTCCCTCTGTCACTAGTCACTATCTCCCTCCCTCACTAGTCACCCCCTCCCTCACTAGTCACCCCCCTCACTCTGTCACTGTTCACCCATTTCCTCCCTCACTCTGTCACTAATCATCCCCTCACTCTGTCACTAGTCACCCACTCCCTCACTCTGTCACTACTCACACCCTCCCTCACTCTGTCACTGGAGTGAGGGGATGACTGGTGACAGAGTGAGGGAAGGGGTGACTAGTGGCAGAGTGAGGGAAGGAAGGGGTGACTGGTGACAGAGTGAGCAGATGACTGGTGACAGTGAGAGAGGGGGATGACTAGTGACAGAGTAAGGGACAAAGGGGGTGACTAGTGACAGAAGGAGGGATTGAGTAGTGACAGAAGGAGGGATTGAGTAGTGACAGAGGGAGGTGGTGACTAGTGACAGAGGGAGGTGGTGACTAGTGACAGAGTTAGGGAGGGATGGGGTGACTAGTGTCAAAGTGAGGAAGGGGTGACTAGTGACAGAGGGAGGGGTGACTAGGGACAGAGTGAGGGAGGTGGTGACTAGTGCCAGTCACCACCTCCCTCACTCTGTCACTAGTCACCACCTCCCTCCCTCTGTCACTGTGTCACCCCCTCCCTCTGTCACTGGTCACCCACTCCCTCCCTCTGTCACTGTGTCACCCCTTCCTTCACTCTGTCACCTGCCACCCCCTCACTCTGTCACTAGTCACCCCCTCACTCTAGTGACAGAGAGAGGGAGGGTGTGACTAGTGACAGAGAGAGGGAGGGTGTGACTAGTGACAGAGAGAGGGAGGGGGTGACTAGTGACAGTGAGGAAGGGTGTGACTAGTGACAGAGAGAGGGAGGGGTGACTAGTGACAGAGTGAGGGAGGGAAGGGGGTGACTAGTGACAGAGTGAGGGAGGGAAGGGGGTGACTAGTGACAGTCACCACCTCCTTCACTCTGTCACTGTGTCACCCCCTCCCTCACTCTGTCACTAGTCACCCCCTCCCTCACTCTGTCACTGTGTCACCCCCTTCCTCACTCTGTCACTAGTCACCCCCTCCCTCACTCTGTCACCAGAGTGAAGGGGTGACAGGTGACAGAGTGAGGGGGTGACTGGTGACAGAGTGAGGGAGGGGGTGACTAGTGACAGAAGGAGGGAGTAGTGATGGAGGGAGGGAGTAGTGACAGAGGGAGATGGTGACGAGTGACAGAGAGTGAGGGAGGTGGTGACTAGTGACAGTCACCACCTCCCTCACTCTGTCACTAGTCACCCCTTCCTTCCCTCACTCTGCCACTAGTCACCCCATCCCTCTCTCTGTCACTAGTCACTCCCTCCTAACTCTGTCACTGTCACCTGCTCCCTCACTCTGTCACTAATCACCCCCTCTGTCCTTAGTGACAGAGTGAGAGAGGGGGTGACTAGTGACAGAGTGAGAGAGGGGGTGACTAGTGACAGAGTTAGGGAGGGAGTGACTAGTGACAGAGTTAGGGAGGGAGTGACTAGTGACAGAGAGAGGGATGGGGTGACTAGTGACAGTCACCCCCTCTCTCACTCTGTCACTAGTCACCCCCTCTCTCACTCTTTCACCAGTCATCCCTTCCTTCCCTCACTCTGCCACTAATCATCCCTTCCCTCACTCTGTCACCAGTCACCCCTTCCTTCCTTCCTTCACAGTGACAGAGTTAGGGAGGGAGTGACTAGTGACAGAGTGAGGGAGGGGGTGACACAGTGACAGAGTTAGGGAGTGACTAGTGACAGAGAGAGGGATGGGGTGACTTGTGACAGTCACCCCCCCCCTCACTCTGTCACCAGTCATCCCCTCACTCTGTCACTAGTCACCCTTTCCCTCCCTCACTTTGCCACTAGTCATCTCTTCCCTCCCTCACTCTGCCACTAGTCACCCATTCCCTCACTCTGTCACTAGTCACCCACTCCCTCACTCTGTCACCAGTCACCCCCACTCACTGTGTCTCCCCCTCACTCTGCCACCACTCAACCCCTCCCTCCCTCACTCTGCCACCAGGTACCCCCTCACTCTGCCACCTGTCACAACCTCCCACACTCTTCCACCTGTCACCTTCTCCCTCACACACTCTGTCACCTGTCACATATGCATTCACACAGACACTGTATACAAAAAAGCACATGTAGTCATCCAGACATGCACAAGTGTATTCACACAGACTCAAATACAAACATGCATTGATACACAGGTCTTCACAATACACACATCCAAAGGAATGCCGTATTATGAATTATATTTAACATTTATTTAATGCACATATATTTGGCCTTCAAAGGGCCTGGGATCTAATTTTGCCCGGGGGCCCCAAAGGCTCTCAGTCCGCCCCTGTATGTGCCCTTGGACCATTTCAGGATGTCCAGATCCTTCTTCTCCAAGGTGATCAGTGCTTTTTTCTTTCCCTTTTCTCCTTCCCCCTTCTTATCCGGCTCCAAAATATAAATGCCAGGTCAGGGAGATTTTCTTTAAAAAATAGGTGTTTTATTAATCCGAATAAAATATAAAAACAATCAAATTTGCCAGATGGGTAGGCTGTATAGTCTTTTTACAGTGTCCAAAACGCGTTTCGCCTTATCAAATAGGCTTCCTCAGTTGGCTGCAATAATGTCAGTTCGTTTTTTCTGCTTTTAAATAGCCCGTTCATTATTTCCTGTTACCCTTTCACTTCCGGGTTTTGTCTGATGGAACGCAACATGCGTTCCAGCACTACCATTCATCACTTAACTTCCGGGTATGTCATTCCCGATCGGCTGATTTGACAAACATGTAAACTTTATTGATATCTAACAGTCCAATTGTGCATTTGGAGCGCATTTGCGTTCCAAATTCTATGGTCATATACTGACATCCTTCCCCCCATAACACAAACATGATAGAATGAATAATATTCTCTTGTATGTGTGAATTTAAATTCCATAGACAAGCATCTATATGTATGTCATGTGCAGATTTATAAACACATATTTATATCTCACATTTAATCATATTGGTGAACTTAATGTCATTAAAAACAATGTTTGAAATAATTAAAATATTTTAAAAAGCAACTACACATTTCATATTATTGAAAATCTTTGTGAGAGCACATAACATAAGGGGTATAGGCTTTCTATAATTAAGTAAACATAAAAAGTATACAGTTGAATATTCATAGAACAAATGCAAAGAATAAAAATAATTCATAAAGTTTATCCTACAATTTATTAAAAAAAAATCCAAAAATTAACTCTTTAAGATGTATTATAAATGGTAAAAAAAAAGGATTAATTGGTATAAAGGGATTAATTCATAAAATGGCACATTTAACCCTTGTGGGATCATGGTGTTAAAATTAAAAATAAATGTAATTTCTTCCATCCCTATTTTTTTTATATAATCCCCTCCTCTCCAATCTTTTTTTAACGAGTTTGATGGCACTAAAAAACATTCCTTTAGGGTTTTGGTTATGGGCTATTCTAAAATGTTTTGAGACACTGTGTGTCTCCAATCCATTCTTTATTAAGTGTTCTTGCATAGCAAGACCACTTAATGTTATCTCACATATATATTATTATTAAGTGTTCTTGCATAGCAAGACCACTTAATGTTATCTCACATATATATTATTATTATTAAGTGTTCTTGCATAGCAAGACCACTTAATGTTATCTCACATATATATTATTAAGTGTTCTTGCATAGCAAGACCACTTAATATTATCTCACATATATTATTATTATTAAGTGTTCTTGCATATAAGACCATAATGTTATCTCATATATATTAAGTGTTCTTGCATAGCAAGACCACTTAATATTATCTATATATATTATTATTATTATAAGTGTTCTTGCATAGCAAGACCACTTAATGTTATCTCACATATATATTATTATTAAGTGTTCTTGCATAGCAAGACCACTTAATGTTATCTCACATATATTATTATTATTATTCTTATTATAGCAAAATTTGCCACCCTAACTCCTCCCACAGTTTTTACACTACATAGACAAAAATTTACCAAAACGTGCAGATTGTTCCCGATCGGATTGCTATTACTTTGTGGAACGTTTCGCCGAATGGTTCACGGAATATCGTCGTTCTTGTGGCGAAATTTGTCCCATAGGAATGAATGGCAAAGCTAGAGTGGGAGCTGGCAAAAGCTGAAAAATCAGGACATGATTTCTAAACTGCCACCACTCCCTTATTTTCAGGCCCACCTACACAAATCTTATATCAAAACGTTCAGCTATCCCTGCTGCCACTAAACATGTCAACGGCTAAGCCATAGTCCTGATAGTTTTCACAATATAATCATTTGTTTGCAACTAACGCCGTCCATTGACTTTCATTGAAACTTCACTCTGCAAAGCTCAAATTTGAAGTGCAATTTCTAAACTGCGACTGTGCCTTCAATTTTAATACTTCAGAGACATACTATGCATCAAAATGTAGGTCTGGGTCTTGTGATTCTCACAATATAAAGTAACTGTGCAACAACGTTGCAATTAAATGTGTTATATAAATGATAACAGTTACGTCGCCCACTCCAGTTGTAGACTACTGGTGGAGGCAAGAACACTTCACACAATTTCCCCAGAAATTGTAGCTTTTCTAGTATTTCTTGTATGTTCTGCTACCCTTGTGTTCAGATAACGGATTGTTCTGCCTACATACAGGAGGTTACACGGGCATTTTAAAATATAGATTACTCCTTTAGAGTAGCAGGTTAAATGGTCTTTAATGTTAAATTTTTTTATTTATAAAAGGTTCCATATGTAATATGTGTCGTTTTTTGTTCTTGGTGTTCCTGCATGCCGGGCATTGCCCACATCCATAAAAGCCTTTGTTCATATTTAAAAAATTGTTGGTTGATCTTATTTCTTTGTTACTACTTTGTACTAGAGTGCGTTTGAGATCTTTAGCCCTCTATAAATTATTTTAGGTTTTTCTGGTAAAATGCTTTTAAGGATAGGGTCATCTTGTAAAATGTGGCAATGTTTATGATTTTATTTACTCTTCTATCATTAGCATACCTTTTATTTGCAATTTTAATGGTAATAATAAAAGAGTAAATAAAATCATAAATAAACATTGGCACATTTTACAAGATGACCCTATCTATCCTAGATATCAATAAAGTTTACATGTTTGTCAAATCAGCCGATCGGGAATGACATATCCGGAAGTTAAGTGATGAATGGTAGTGCTGGAACGCATGTTGCGTTCCATCAGACGAAACCCGGAAGTGAAAGGGTAACAGGAGATAATGAACGGGCTATTAAAAAACACCTGGTTTTTTTTAAAGAAAATCTCCCTGACCTGGCATTTATATTTTGGAGGCGGTTAAGAGGGGGACGGAGAAAAGGGAAGGAAAAAAGCACTGATCACCTTGGAGAAGAAGGATCTGGACATCCTGAAATGGTCCAAGGGCACATACTATCTGAGTCATATGAGGGTATGACTCCAGGCTTGTGAGTGATATCACTCTTTTATCTTACTTTTTAAGTATTTTATATACTGTATTGCCCTATTGTTGTATAATTTTATTTTACAGAATATCTGTTGAAATACTACTTAGAAGCTCCATCTTTTGTATGTATTATATTTGTTTTTAAGTGGTGTAGGGGATGCCACTTTTAGGTGTTAGAGCTTCCTATTTCACTCACCTCCATATTGTGCACATACTTTGTTGTATTAGTTGTGAATGATCTGTCTCTTGGGACAGAAGGGCGGGTCTGTCAACTCAAGTGACAAGGATGTTTTAATGACTCTTGATCTATGAGGAGAGCTGTGTTGTAAATGGGGAGATGTAAGTATTTCATCTTGCCAACCCAGCATCCTAAAATGCAAAACAGAAAGCAGGCTCTGCTGGAACACGCCACTCCTGGTTTTCCACTGATAGAATATGTCTATCTAAAATTTTGGTTATGACTGTCTTTGTGAATGAGATTAGTCTGAAATTGGAATAGTTAACCCTGTAAAGACACAAGTGAGCTAAAAGTTGTTCCAGAGTTGGAACCTTATCACATAGGGCAAGCTATTACTGTACTTTATTGTATCCATTCTCAATGTTTTCTTACATTCTGTATTGACAGAAGGTATTTGACTTTATAAGCTGCCAAGCACTCTGTTTCATTTAATTGTAAGGGACTGGATGATGGGTTTTCTCTGACATGAACACACTTCTTAGACCAAGTGCTAGACCACCATCTTTGTGGAGGAGGATAGGTCATAAATCAAAAGGACATAAATACCATGGTACAGTATGGCTGTTGGCAAAAAGCAGGATATAGGAGAGGGAGACAGGAGATGAAAACAGTGAAGGAAGGTGAAGAAAGAAGGCAATGTGACCAGACTAGTGAACGCAAATAAAATGGGAAAGAGAGGGATTTGATTAGAAGTGGTGGTTAGAAACCATGTGTGGCAGAACCAACCTCGCCACTAGGCACTGGAGAAGCCTGGTTGCTCGCCTGCTCCCTTTAGACTATGGCCCTGCAGTTCAGACCTGTTATTTTCCCTGCTGAAAGGTTTATTCGTGCCTTTCTGCCGGGGTGTTCGGTAGATTCAATCTACCGAACGATGGACCACCTGGGAACTGGAGTGTGCCATCAATTGATCGCCCAGAAGCTGCGGTTAACCGCAGCTTAATTGATGAACGCTTGGTGGGCTTTGTTCGGTTGTCGAACATGTGGCAGCGGCCATTTTACCTCCCAAACGGCCAGCGGTGTTCAGCGCCCAAACTATGGAACTGAAAACAGACACATATTGGCGCGAACACCGCTGAGCCGCCAGCCTCCTTACCGCTCCAATGACTGTTCATTCGGTAGTTTAACCGGATGAACAGCATCACTCCAGATAGCTAAGCCATGGAGCCTATTCGTGTAACGAAAGACTATGTGAAAGACTTTGGCTCCATGGCGATTGAAATGTATGTATCTGATCTGAGCGCCATTCGGTAGTAATGTGCGCTCAGATCTAAGCTATCTGGGGATAGGTAGAATGTATATGTTTTATGTAATAAATGTAACTGTATGTAATTTTATGTCTTTTACTGAAAAAGTGTGTAATGGAGTTTTGCCTCTGTCCTTGGAGATAATTGTATTACTTCCCAATTATCTCCAGGACAGAGAGGAGGGATTGTGATGCAATGTGGGATTGTTGAAATGTGTAAGTCTGTGATTGGTTCTTGTACCCTTTGTGTCCCAGTCTCCCATCAAGTCCCCTAGGGGAGTGTCCACCAGGTGGGAGACCTGCATAAAAGCCGAGCAGTTAGCCCCAGTAAACCAGATTCTGCTTGACCCTCAAAACGAAGTGTCGTCTCGTCTTTGGGATGATTTACTGTATGCTGTTAGAGACTGATTGCCAGGAGTGTAAGCCGCTTGGGTGCTTTTCCTGTTTGTCTGCTAGCAGCTATTCGTGTGTTTCCAGTTTGGGAGTTTGGAGTGCTACTTGGTATGCAGTTCGGGAGTTTTGAGTATTCCCTTGGTTGCAGTTCGGGAGTTGGTGAATTCGTGGGTTTGCAGTTCGGGAGATTGGTGCTTGCAGGAGCTGTCTGTGCATCTGAACAAGGGGAATATCGCCTAAACGGTTTTTAACCTCTTGTGTGAAAAACGGTCCGTTACAGCATGTGATATATTTACATCAGATGATTACATGTTATTAAAAATTGAAGATGCATATAGCGAATGATCTGAAATTTGGAATGGTGGGGAAATTAAATTGGCAGTGAAAAGGAAGCATATACAGAGTAGACAGAAATACAATGGGGAAAAATAGGTTAGAAAAATCCAGTAAAATAGAGTAATGTTAAGATTGATGGTTAAAAAATAATAATATATATATTTGCAGCAAACAAGATTGCAGAGATAAAAAATAATTTTATTTAACTTTTTTGGAAAAAACAGTCCACTTTCCTAGCCATACATATATATTGGGGCACCAAATATTTCTAACAATAAATCTGCTTTTGACTGGCTTGCTGTATGTTTACAATGCCCAGTTTCTATGAACAAGCAATGCATAGTGTAGTAATGGTTTTACACATTCTTCACATGATTGCAGTTTTTTTTGTTTTGCATGTCTGACTTGCGTTTAATGCTTGTGTATTCCACTTTTGTCTTTCCAGATGTGATTTATGATCCAGAAATAATTATATCATTATCCAAATTCTTAAACAAATTGTTCATGTGTATGAAAAATGGAAGGGTTCTGGAAGTGTTTATAGCTTCTACAATTCGAAATCCTGAAACATATAGTTTTTTTAAAACCTCCCTTGGTAAGTAATGTATGCAATAACACTAGTAATGGTTTTTATGTTTTATTCTCTCTCTTTATCTCTCTCCAAATAACCCACTAAAGGTTGTAAGCAAAACTAAATATAACCAATATTCCTTTATGTAAAGCAGCAGTAAAAATCATTGAGAGTAGACTGTTATTGAGCTACTTCTCCAGCTTTAACATAGGAAGCAAAGGGTAGACTTAATAATTTTACTTGATCTCCAGCCCAGTAACTCAGAAAACGTTTCTTATAAAGGCTTGGACAGAAACTTATTATTGTTTTATTTTTTTTTTGTAGTTCCATTCTGGTGGATGGTAATTAAAGTTTCTGTTTTAATTATAACACCTCCTCCTATTGACCTGTGTCAGTTGGAGGCCCTCAAGGCATCTGCCCTTCTGCCCCCTCTTTTTTTTTTCCCTCGCTGTACTGCCTCTCTAGGCACACGTCCGTTCTTTTGAATTCTAGTGCCACCTTTATGCTGATGACACCAGATATTCCTATCTTCCCCTAATCTCTCTCCCGCTCTCTGTAACATGTCACCAGCTGCCTCTTTCCATCTCAAAATGGATGTCCTCCTACGTTCTAAAGCTCAATCTTTCTAAAACAAAGCTTCTCATTTTCCATTTTTATAATATTAATCTTCCTCTGTCACTCTCCCTGCAAGTTGGTGGTACACTCATCAACCCATCATTGCAAGCTTTTTGCTTTGCTATTATTTGTCCCACTGTTAGTCTGTCACCAAATCCTGTCATTTTTACCTTATTAAACATGACCCTTATTTATTTATTTATTTATTTATTTATTTTAAACTAATGATGCTACTAAATAGCTTGTTCATAATTTCCTGGATCAATTGCTACAGTTCTCTTTGTACAGTCGAAAATGAATGCTGCTTCCAAGCTTATTTTTCATCTCTCCTCTCACTCCTTGCTTCTTTTCTAATCATTACACTGGCTTTATGACCCTCTAGAATTCAATTCAAGATACTAATACTCACATACAATGCTCTTAAAGGAACAAACCTATTCCGAACACTAGAGTTAAAGGACCACTATAGGCACCCAGACCACTTCTGCTCAATGAAGTGGTCTGGGTGCCAGGCCCCTCTAGTCTTAACCCTGCAGCTGAAAACATAGCAGTTTCAGACAAACTGCTATGTTTCACCGAGGGTTAACCCAGCCTCTAATGTGCACTCTTGCCGCGCATGCGCATTCGGATCTGACGTCGGCAGGGGGTGGAGAGTTCCCCAGCACAGAGGGAGCACGGCGCTGGAGAAAGGTAAGTGGCTGAAGGGGTTTGAATCCATTCAGCCCAGCGGGAGGGGGGTCCTGAGGGTGGGGGGACCTACTGACCCTATAGTGCCAGGAAAGCGAGTTTGTTTTCCTGGCACTATAGTGCTCCTTTAATAACTGTTTAGATTCAGGATCACCCTTAAATAAGTTTTTAAAAGCTATGTTACTCACCTTTCTTCATCCAACACATTGGTCTCACTGAGGTTTCCCTGCCGGGATACGACATCCATATTTACAATCTCAGCCAATCTAATGTTTTTTTATAGGGAAGCTGAGAGGCTAGAGCGCATGTGTGTCAATAGCTGCTCTGCGTCTGGCAGCCTTTTCTAAGTAAAAACAGAATTTACAAAGCCTAGCCTGCAGGGACAAGCTCTTTGCCTTAGAATCACTACTTGAAGCTGTATTGGTTCTGATGGCCTTTGTCCCTTTAAGGCCTCACCCACCCCCTCGACAGAGACCTTCCCCAGTCATCTGTTCACACACAGTGTTCTTGCTAACAGGATTTTCCAAAGTTAGGCACTGTGACCAATATATTTAATTGAATAGGTTACAGTGCCTGGAGTCTCTTGGCATTCTCCCTCCATCCAGTTTTCCATATTCAAGCAGTTTAACACTGAATGAGTGTATCTAGCAGCCCAACCCCCATTGGGGATATCCATACCAGTAAAGTATGGCTGTAGTAGGCGGAAAGTAGTCAGCTGACACTCTCAGCCAGTCACTGCCACACATCACTGCTTAGGGTAATGCTTCCTCTTTAGCATTAGCAACACAGAGGAGATGGGCTGGTGGGGACTCTTCTTCAAATTTAAATGGTTTTTAATGTTTTACATTAAATGTAAGGACTGTGAATGTAAAACATTAAAAACAGTTTAACTCTGAAGACGAGTCCCCACCAGCCCATCCACATCAATGAGCAATGTAGCAGTAATCGTTTGTTTACTGCTTTACCCCCTTAAGGACCAAACTTCTGGAATAAACCCCTTAAGGACCAAACTTCTGGAATAAAAGGGAATCATGACATGTCACACATGTCATGTGTCCTTAAGGGGTTAAAGAAATGTAGGGAGGGGTGTCTACCTGTTTCTACGGCTTCATTTGATTTCCTCACTCCTCCAGTTTACAACACAGAATCCTGCAGCACTGTTTGTGTGTAAAGCATCTCAGAACATGAATCATAACGGGCAACGCTTATGCCATATATTTCTAATTTAGCACTGGTGGTAACAAAATAAGTATCTGAAAAACCATTTAAGGGACTAACTAAAATTGAAGCATCATTTGTGTGGTGTAGTTTGGTAATGAAATATTGAATGCTTGTTTAACACATTTGTTTGTTTTTGAATTAGATGAACGTGGTCTGAGTTGGGAAGTAGTTCTTGGTCATGAGAAGACTTCATTATCACAAGATTCAAACTACTGTATAGAAATCTTGAAAATCACATCAGTTGTAAAATTATGATTTGTTAATGATATATTAAAGTGTTTTAATAATGGATCTTGTAAAATGTATGTTATTAAGTAGAGTATAAAACAACACTGGTGATGATGTAAAACATTTCTCAAAGGAACACTCGAAGCACGATAAGTGGGAATCATACTCTATATGTAGTTATAACATTTAAGTAAGTGCTCTATAAATAAAACTAAACACAATGGTATGCAGTAGTATACAGAGCACAATATAATAATTGTGTGCACCAAAGGGCAGCAAAATTTTAATCTTGAAATAAATTCCTCAATATCCACTAAACCAGAACAAAAGTTAAGAAATTAATGGATGCGCCACTAAACAAAAAATATGTAGGTCACTCAAATCACTACTTCCTACAGTTATAACTCCAAGATATCCTCAGATCATTATATATAAATATGTGTGTGTGTGTGTGTGTGTATGTGTGTGTATGTGTATATATATATATATGTGTATGTGTGTGTATGTATATATATATATATATATATATATATATAATTATTTTTTTTTATTATTTTTTTTTTGTAGTCGGGGACATTAAGCCATAATAATAATAATACAATATAAGTAGAAGAAAGCACCAGTCAGTTGTGGTTTGCCGGAACCAACGTATAGGGGTAGGCCTGTAGTAAAAGAGGGCAAAAAGTCGATTTATACAAATAACCTTTATTACACACATATTTACAAAGCTAAATCTTTAAATGCTAATCTTCATTCCTGTTCTGTATGTCGTATATATCTGGTATATGCTGCTGACTAATCTCTTAATTATATGAGCAGGTACATTGTGGCTTGAAGCCACGGTAGCGGCTCCAATTCTGAAGGAGTGGCCAGAAAAGCAGAGGTGTCATGACTGAGTCTTATAAAAGTGTTCTAATATATAAAATGAATTTAATGGGGGTCAAAGGTTTGCCATGTAACAGAGTAATGGCGTACTTGGGTTTAACGATCTAGCGTCGAACAATAGGAGCCCAGTAATTTAACTGGACACCAGTGATTACCGGTGAGGTAGTAGCATACTTCAGTAGGAGGGCCTGTTTTGGTGTGATCAATGGTAAGTGAATAATCAGTAAGGCTAGATAGGCTGTCATTTTAATGATCAGATTAGTGCTGGTTTCAAACGGATTGGTGTCTAGAATGTCGGTAAGTGTGTGAAATTTAGGCCCATCAATAGGTTGTCTAGTAGTGGTAGTGTTTTTGACCAAACGTTGTATGCCTTTCAGTATATTCTTGACAGGATAGGTAGACATGAAAGAATTTGTGCTAGGTTAGGCACTTAAAATGTGCGGATGTATTCCTGTGAGGTAGAGTTTTATGGTGTATTGTGATAATTTTAGGTTAAGGTGGCAAGTTAAGGTGTTGTGAGCCACGAGGCGATTTAGTCCAGGATTAAGTCTTGGTATGAGGAAGTGCTGACCGGACTGATGTTGGCTGTAGGGTGTGTTCTGAAGAAATCCTGCAAATTAGAACCAGACAATACATCAATAGCTCTGTTAATCCGGCCAGGCATGTGTATTCATGTAAAATAAAATTGTAGTGTAGTCAATCTTAGTCTCTTATGATGTTGAGTGATGAGATTCTGCACTTATGATGCCACTAGCTGCTTTGTTGTCGGAAAAACATTCTGCTTTTCTTTACCACAAGTACCCTCAGGCTTTGGATGCTGCCACAGTAGGGTAGATTTCAAATAGAGCTGATGTAGTGTGGAACAAGGGTAGGCCACGGCAAAGAATCTCTAAACCAGGAGTCACCAAGATAGCTGCGAACACTGTATGGGCTGCAGCATCGGTCCATATGACTGGAATGTTTAGAGATGGGGGAATAACTTTGCCATACCATTCCATCGAGATAGAAAACTAAGCCATATGTGTAGGTCTGCTTTAGCGTGTGTATCTAGGGGAACTGTACTCTAGTCAGTATGGCTTGTAACAAGATTGAGTCTAGATGAATTCCTGGGAAAGTAAGGTTAGTCGTAGGGCCATTTGTTTGTCCTGAGAAGTGTAACACCTATAGTTGAAATAGAGCCATTGTCTTATAAATGCTAATAGGTGTAGACTGAGGCTTTCTATAGTGAGTAAGTCATCTAGATAATGTATGACTGATGGGCATTTGGAAATGTTGAACAGTAGCCTACATAACGTGTCGGCAAACACGTTGAATAATTTTGGACTACTCTTAGCACCAAAAGGCAAACATGTGGCAAAGTAGTATTTGTACGCCATGTACGTGACATAGTGACGGATGTATGGATAAAAGCTTGAAGGCGTTGGAAACATCAGTTTTCTCTAACCAGGCTCCTACACCTGCCTTCAATATAGCATGAATGGCATCCTCTACTGTGGTATATTGCAAGGAGAATTCCTCACAGGGAATCAATAAGTTGATGCTAGGGATGGACAATAAATGTGGAGCCGATAATCATAATTAATTTATTGTTGAACTTCCCTGTGACTATACCAATGGGATTGGTACGCCAGCAGGAAAAAGGTGGTTTAGAGGAAGGGCCTATAATAGACCCATTGTTCAATCCTGCGTTAGCTACGCTTTAGTGCTAATGGGGTCAAGTAGGGCAGACTGTAAGTTAGGGTAGTCGTGAATACCAGTGGAGTGTGAACAAGCTGGATGATTACAGATTCTTAGTAGGGGTGTATGGAACGGCGAGGGTGAAAGGCCTGGCTGGAATCTTGGGTATAGTGAGTACCTTGTCTTTCCCCGGGTCTTTAGAAATACCAAGAACGTAAACATGGGTAGAGATGAGGCCTTTTTTGTTTTTACGAGCGATTGCCTGTGTCATCTGGCTCTAGCTAAGCCTGAGGCAAAAAAATATTTGGACTACAAGGAAGGACTTGGCCCTGTTAGTGCCAAGAGGAGAGAGAGAGGCTCTATCTATGAGGAGGGCCGAGTGGACGGGGGGCCACTGAATGATGTGGCGGGAACGCTTACCTCTTGGTGACTTGTAACAAGACATAATATATGTGGGCGGGACTTGGTGGTGCCCTGACTAGTAACCTGACTTGGTGGTGCCCCCTGGCTAATGTGAGACTCTAACTATGCGGTGGGCCGAGAGGCGTATACCACCAAAGAGGATGGGTGTAGGTCTCACGGGATTAGATTAATTACAGTAAGCTAGGGACAAATTAAGTGACTAAATAGCCAGTTGACTTACCCTAGCCTATAACGGAAAAGGAGTACGATGTAAAATGGAGACGTACCCAGCTTAAGATAGAGATAAGATTCTCTTATGACAAGGATGACTACTTGAGAACATGAAAAAAGGACATGTGGAAGATTAGGTCGTAGTTGGGCCTGGTCTGTTTAGTATTGTATTTTTGAGTAAAACTCACCTGTCGAATGATGATAGTTATTTGTAGAAGCGTAGTGGCTGAGGATAAAATAATGGTTAACCTCTATGAACATTAGGTACTGACTGGAGGTGACTATGGAACTGAGTAATTACAGTAAGCTAGGGAAGTATACCTGTTAACTTGAGTGGAGCAAGGAATCAAATCAATTCTCCTAAGTACAGGGAAGGGTAGAGTATGGACAGAAACTTAAGGGAACGAGTGGTGATTCTTATACATGCATAAATGTACATGCATAGTGGAAATACGATATACTGCAAGGATTTGCACCTAAGTGTGCTAGAAAAAGGTTATACCGGGTTTCCGATTACTTAGGAATATCAGTCTGCTAAATTATTATTAAGATTGTCTAAAAGGACGTTAGCATTCCTGACCTCTACATATGAAATGCGTACTTTTATACAAACATATTGCAATATTAACGCTTAACCTAGGATGCATTTCTCATAAAATCGACTAAATTCGTCTAATTTAAACAAGTGAATACATGTGAACGAAACGGTTTGACATAGAAATACTCCAACTGTCATAATGAAGTGTGGTCCATAGGGGTCGCAAGTAGACCAACTAGAGCATTGAGTTCGGTTAAATTAAAGAATGGCACTGAACGTGACCATGAAACATAGAACAGAACATATGGTTGGACTGGCATGAGCAAGGACACGAAAGGGGTTTTGTTCGCAAGAACGGGATCCATGCAGCGGCCAAACATAGCATACGTATGAACCTTTCAGGAAAAAACCCTAGGAGTGTTAGCAGCTGGTGTGAATAAAATAGTTAATGACTCAGACTCGGTTAATGGCCATCAATGTATTTAAAGGTACAGACCAGGTGGCAAATGACCCTAGGAGTGTTAGCAGCTGGTGTGAATAAAATAGTTAATGACTCAGACTCAGTTAATGGCCATCAATGTATTTAAAGTTACAGACCAGGTGGCAAATGCTGGTCATGTAGAAGAGCCCAGCATTTGCCACCTGGTCTGTACCTTTAAATACATTGATGGCCATTGTCTGAGTCATTAACAATTTTATTCACACCGGCTGCTAACACTCCTAGGGTCAATTGTAAGTACAGCTTGTATACATTGTTTTGATTATGTTAATGTGTATGTATGCTATATAAGCACTGTTGTTTGTACTGCACTGTATCCTGACGAAAGTTCCATTAGAGAACTGAAACGTTGATCTACTACTGGCAGATGCCTAAATAAAAGCTAAGTTTTTTCACAATATATTTCTTTGAAGTCCTTGGAGTGCTATCATTACTACATTTATTTATTTATTTATTTATTTATTTACTATATATATATATATATATATATATATATATATATATATATATTTGTGTTCGGGGCATTCTCATATGATATGGAATACTCTGGTGGAGAGTAATACAATAAAAGGAAAAAGTCGGTTGAGGTGTGCCGAAAACCGACGTATGCTGTAGGCCGGTAAATAAAGTGGGCCCACATGGAGGAAAGTATAGCTAATGGGAGTGGAGGGTGGGGCTGTTCGTCTGGACCAACGTAGGTAAGTGAGGGAAGGGGGGAGTCCCCTTTTAAGTAGATCTATTGCCCCTCCCACAAATTCAGGCCCTGCCTTCAAACTTGTGTTCGGGGCATTCTCATATGATATGGAATACTCTGGTGGAGAGTAATACAATAAAAGGAAAAAGTCGGTTGAGGTGTGCCGAAAACCGACGTATGCTGTAGGCCGATAAATAAAGTGGGCAAAAGATAAAGCAAGATAAACATTTATTCGGTAACATAAATACAAAGAAAATTCAAATACATTATTAAGTAGACATATTAATGAAAGCCCTCCTAAGCTCTTGGACTGGGTGCGGGATGTAGGTAGCGTAAGCTGAGGACTTCCATCGACCCAATGTCTTAATGACATGCACAGGAACATTTTGGCTAGAGGCTGTGGAGGCCGCACCAATTCTGAAGGAGTGCCCCGAGTAGCTACTAGGGTTCAGACCAAGCCTGGTGATAAGCATTCGAACGTAAAGCATGAATTTTGACGTGGTGAGAATGGTATCGTGCAGCATTAGTAGAGGCCTTGTGGGCTGTGTTTGTTTCGTGGTTAAAAAAACGTCTAGTGCTTTTACTGGGCACCAATTGTTACCCGTGGGGTAGTAGTTAATGTGAACTGGTTCCCCCCTCTGACTTGTCTTAGTCTTAGGTAGAGACAGGACGTAGTAGTCTGTGTGTTTCGTGAGATGTGACGTGAGGAGGCACCCTTGGTTGTGCAGTTGGCCACTAATGGTGAATTCTCGTGGTCTAAGAAATCCGTAAAAGGCCAGATACATGGCGGCTTTAATAACCGTGTTTGTATTGGGTTCAAAAGGTGCTTGGTCGAGTAGATTGGACAGGGATTTGAACATTCCTATGTCACTAGCCAATCTTTTGGGCGTAGCTGGACCGTCTGCCTTTGCTATACCCTTCAGTAGCGTGCGGATGGGGTATGAGGTTAAGAACCCTTTGTATAAAAATTAAAAACCAAAACATTTATACAAAAAAAAACAATAAAACCGCTAACTTTGGCCAGCGTTTGTGACTAAGTGGCTACAACAAAAGACTGGAAATACCCCATTTGGAATACCGTGGGTTGTCTACATTTGAAAATGGTATGCCATGATGGGGTTATTTCACATGATGACCAACTGTTAAAATTCCAAGTTGGAAAACTGGAATGTGCACCCTCCAAATAAGGTCTTTTAACCCCCAGAGAACCCGACAGACCTATACATGGGTGGTATCGCTGTACTCCAGAGATGTTGCTGAACACATATCGGGGTGTTCCTTGGCAGTAACACCTAATAGGAACTTATAATCCATGCCTAAAGTAGAATGTGTGTGAAAAATAACACAAAAAATGACTACCCAAATGTTTGACAGAGACTGGTGGTAGAATTAGTGCATGGAAAGTGTTAAAATACCACCTTTTGAAATACCCCAGGGTGTCTACTTTTCAAAAATATATGGTTTGATCGGGGTAAATTATATTGTCCGGCTTCAAAAATGTCCCAAATGGGACATGGGTGCATGTGGACTAACTGTGGACTAACTGTGAAACTTCCAAGTTGGAAAACTGGAATGCGCACCCTCCAAATAAGGTCTTTTATTCCCCAGAGAACCCGACACATCTATACATGGGTGGTATCGCTGTACTCAGGAGATGATGCTGAACACATATTGGGGCATTCTTTGGCAGTAACCCTTAAAGTTCTCAGTACATATATTCTTAAATTGCTATGTGTCTCAAAACAAAATCACCAATTATTATTTTTTTTTATTTTATTTGGCATAGATTGGCTGGATGAAAAGATTCAAAATACCCCAGGTTTAATACCTTAGGTTGTCTTCTTTTAAAAAATATATACATGTGCAGGGTTATTCAGGGATTCCTGACAGATATCAGCATTACAATGTAACTTAATTTTGAAAAAAAAAATGTTTTGGAAATAGCAAAGTGGTACTTGTGCTTATAGCCCTATAACTTTCCAAAAAAGCTAAGAACATGCTACCATTGGGCATTTCTAAGCTCAAAATTTAGAAACTATTTAGCACAGGTGTTTTTTTGCAGTTGTAGATGCGTAACAGATTTTGGGGATCAAAGTTCAAAAAAGTGTGTGTTCTTACATTTTTCATCATATTTAATATTTTTTATAGTAAATTATATGATATGATGAAAATAATGGTATCTTTAGAAAGTCCATTTCATGGCAAGAAAAACAGTATACAATATGTGTGGGTACAGTAAATGAGTAAGAGGAAAATTACAGCTAAACACAAATAACACAGAAATGTAAAAAAAGCATTGGTGCCAGCGGCAAGAATTTTGAAAAACGACCTGGTCACTCAGGGGTTAACTAAATTTCTCTCTTTCCTGTAATCCTGCAATCTATATGTTCTGTTTTATTTGTCCTTCTATTTTAACCTATACTTTTATCTATAGGTTTTCTTTTTTACTTTCATTCCTGTTTGTAATCTATTTTGGGCATATTGCCTAAGACCCTTTATTACTGTTTTCTCTCTCTCTCTCTTTCCTATAATTTATATTATAGGATATCCTGCTCATACTATGTCTAAGAGCACAAATAAAGTACCTGAAGTCAACCCTGGCATAAGTCTCCTCTCTGACCTGCTCAAGATCATGACACTTACATTCACGCACACACAGACACTGCTCAGTGCTACATACAACCCTGCAAGCATGGTAAACTGGTATGGCACTTTCTACTTTAGTTATGCCACTGCGCTGGGGTGGAGGGCGTGATTGGTAGGGGGCCCAGGCAAATGCTTGTCCGGGGTCCAATCAATCTTAAAGACGGCCCTGGCTAGGCACCTAAATAAAAAAAGAAAAATACTCACCATCCAGCGACAAGTCCTCAGGGCCAGGTGACACTCACCCATGAGTACTTAAAGAGGTTAGTCTGGTAATATCCAAATCATTGTTTCTAATTTTTCTGTAGTCTTTCAGGAATTGTACCAAATGATTGACGTAAAGCAAATGTGTGCCCATATTTAATGATCAAAATCCCAAGTCTGGAAACTACAGAGCTTAATGCTTGTGGTTGTAAAATTATTTTAGGGTGTTTAATCATTTTTACAAGTTACTTTTGAAAATTAATGTTATCACTAGGAATCAGCATGTCTTTATATAGAGCACATCCTCCCATACTAACCTGATTACTTTCTGTGAAGAAGTTAAAAGAAATATAGATCAGGGCATTGCAGTAGATGTGATCAATTTATAATTTTCAAAGGTATTTGATATAGTTGCATACAGAAGGTTAGTGCAAGAAAGTTGAAAGAAATTGGTTTAGGTTAAAGTTTTTGTTCTAGAATTGAATATTGGCTTTAAAAAAAAAAAAAGAGTACAGACAGTAGTTGTTAATGGAAAAAACAAAACTAGGTGCGTTTCCATTCTGAACATACCTTCTCTTCATAAGGATCTGGTATATTATGAGTCTTGGCAGGCAAGTGAAATATGACATTTACTGTGTCCAGGGGCGTTTTAGCCGTGAGGCAAACAAGGCATTTGCCTTGGGCGGCATTTTCCAGGGGGCGGCAAAAAAGCCCGCCCCCCCAAATGCCCAGGGCAAATGCCTTGTTAGCCTTGCGGCTAACAGACATGCCGTGCGGACTGCTGGGCTGGGCGGGCTGCTGGCGAGGGAGCTCTTCCTCTGAGCGGTCTGCTCAGCTCCCTCGCGCGCCGCAGAGTGAGGCTGGAAGCCGGAAGATGACGTCATCTTCCCCCCGACCGCCCAGCAGCCACTGGACTCCAGGGAGAGAGGGAACCCCCCCCCCAGCATTCCCAAAGGTAAGGGGAGGATGTTAAAAAAAAGTGTTTATGTGAGTGTGTGTGTATGTCTGTTAGTGTGTGTGTGTGTGTGTCAGTGTGTGTTTGTGTCTGTGTCTGTTAGTGTGTGTGTGTCTGTTAGTGTGTGTGTGTCTGTGAGTTTGTTTGTGTCTGTGTGTCTGACTGTGTGTGTGTGTCTGCTAGTGAGTGAGTGTCAGTGAGTGTGTGTTTCTGTTAGCTAGTGTATGCGTATCTGTCAGCGAATGTGTGTGTGTGTGTGTGTGTATTTAGAAGGCGGGGCAGGAGGAAGGGATGGGTGCGCGGGGGGGGGGGGTTTGGGGGCCGCCTGGGTTAGTGCTATATGCACTACCTGAATAGCAAGGCTTGTTAATTTACATATTTGGGTAGATTTGCATATTGCTTTTTGCAGGCAGGAGAGATATTTTGTGTTAATTATTGTCTTCCCCATACCTTTATAAATATGTTGTTATGTTATTATAAGTTCCTGTTTGTTTCCTGATATGATTTGGTTAATTGTATTTTATTTAGTTTGTCACAGCAAGGTTGATGTAATGAACATATGAGCTAGTCCCAAGTAAACTATGTATGTTAGTATATATGTTAGTTCTGTTTGGAACTGTGTCTTCTGTGGAGTTTTAGGGATCTCAGCCACAGAGTTGTCATACCTGTTTCCTAGTTGCAAGATTTTTCTAGTCCTGGGATAAATTAAAAGAGCTAGGCCTGAGAGCTGCAAGTACCTTTGTAAAAGCAATATAAATCACATTGTAGGAAGAGGTGGATACCTGCCTGGAAGGAGGGCTGCAGTGTGATAGGCACAGGGGACGATACCTGCCTGGAAGGAGAGCTGGAGCCTGGTCGAGCATCGACAACTGGGGATGAGGTGTCCCAGGCTCCCTCCCCAATGACTAGGAAGTGGATTGAGCAGAGGTACTCGATTG